CCAGCCTTCTGGAAACCAAAAGAGTTAAAAAATATTCAACGAAAGTGTACTGGAGTGTTTGTGGGAAACACTGGAACAAAAGCCCCTCAACAGTAAGATTTAAATCTCTGTGAAAAGCTTAAGAAACTCTTATCAGTCTGAAACATAAGAACAAAAGTTTGTGCATGTACTGATTTTATCACAGAGTTATCTATACTGAGTTACCTCAGAAATTTTACCCTTGATTTCACCTGAACTTTCCCCTCTATGTTGAATAAAATATTTTATCAATTTGGAACATAAAAACTTCTTGAGTGCCATTTAAGTCATATAAGTTAAAGGGGGCTCCCATTCCTTCACTCAGGTTCCTGGGCTGAGCAAACAGCCAAAGTATTATACTGTGGCAGGGTTGGCCAGCCAGAGTTTTTCAGCAGAGAAGAAAACATATTACTAGGGCGGCTCAGTCAGTAAAGAGAAAGAAAAATGGAGGGAAATCCTGCCTATAAGGGAGGGAAGTAGATGGGACCATCAAAGTAGGTATTTATTTTATGGGGCACTGTAGAGTTCTATCTTGCCTCCCTTGCTGTTGAACCCATGAGACCACTGAGCTAGATTGATGGGAGCACTGATATGGGCATGCGCTGAATTCCAGCACAAATAGAAAACCATGACATGTAAGTGCAGCATTCCATAAACTGTGCACAAGCCTGAAGATTAACCATCCATGAGACAGGAATACCATATTAGAGCAAACATCAGGAGCTGAGCACGTAGTCAGTTACATAAGACTCAGCTTCACACCACCACAGATTAACACCTAACTAAGCAATTAAGTAATTAGTGTAGGTACTTTGAATTTCTAACTGCACCACAACTTTCAAACCGACCAGGATGAGCCAAATCACAATCTCACTTTATATGTCATAAGAAATACAATTTGTTACATTCTGTATAAAACTTTTTCTTTATTCCACAATCTTGATAGCAGTTGATTTACATGGAGGGGCTGCTCCTCTTTTTAATTGCAAACAATTGCACACAACACTGGCTGCCAACAGCATACCAAATCCGCTTAAAGGTGCTGGTTCTTACCTTTAAAGCCCTTTATGGCCAGGGTCCGACATACCTACGGGACCGTCTTTCCCCGTATATACCGTTGATAAAATGTCTCTAAGGATATCCCCATCTTCCTCCCTCAATCCCCGGAAGCCGAGAATAAGGTTAGATTTTTCCATTTGAAGCATAAGCAGCTTGTTGTCTTGTCTTTCTTGATGCTTTTCCACTTTTTGGACCTTCTTCTTAATTGTCTGTACTTCTTCTGCTGATAAAAGGCATTTCTTTACAGTATCATCCATCTTCTCAGCTACCTCTGTTATCTTCTTTTGCTGTAAACCCAAAGCATCTTCTACTGAGTCAAGCTTTCTGTTTATTTTTTGCAGTTCTGCCAGCAGATGGCGTGCAAGATCAGTGTCAGGTTGATTGGCAGCAGCTCCAGCAGCAGAGGGGCTAGGACAGGAAGTCCCGACTGCCTTCTTTAGCTGTTTCTCTGCTAGCCTTCTCGAGCTCACCATATTGCCGTTTTGTTTACTTTTTTGGAAGTTTTGGACACCCTTCACCGGGACAACTCCCAGGCCTCCGCTCTGCTTTTCGCCGCCAGAAGGTAATCACTTATTTCAATTCGTGCGTCTCCCCCCCTCTTTGCTCTTTAAAAAGTCTATCGGTCATGGGGGGGGAGATTCCCTCCTCCCTCCTCCCTCCTCCGCTTCTCTTTGGGGGGGAAAGCCTTTTAAGCCACCGATTTTGATGAAGCTTCGACTTACGGTTAGCCACTTTGACGTTTAGTTCTCTGAGTTGTTTCACCGCTTTACCACTCCGCTTTCCCGGCGGCTTTGCTGGTCCCCATTACAGGGCACAGCGCTGCTGGAGCCGTTTGGGGTAGGAGAGACCTTTTGGCGGGCGAGCCTCAATTCCCGGCTTTCGTGCCGGCAAGAGGCTACCCCCAGTCTCCCAAATGCACCCCCTGGTTCGGAGCCCTTTAACAAAGGCTCCTTAGAGTCTCCGCGATTGCGGGACCCCTCCTGGCAGCGTGTGGGCGATCCGATTCCGGGAGCTCACCCGAGAATCGGTCACCAGGCGCACAGCCATAACCGGAAGTCGTCCATGGCTTGTTTTTTACAGCTTGTTTTATTTTTATATACATAATTTATCTGATTTTATTTCATTATATTGTTTTTACTTTCAAGTCATCTTACACAGGACCCTGGAGAGGCGACATATACATTTAAGTATTATACCGTGACTGGGTTGGCCAGCCAGAGTTCTTCAGCAGAGAACATATTACTAGGGCGGCTCAGTCAGTAAAGAGAAAGAAAAATGGAGGGAAATCCTGCCTATAAGGGAGGGAAGTAGATGGGACCATCAAAGTAGGTATTTATTTTATGGGGCACTGTAGAGTTCTATCTTGCCTCCCTTGCTGTTGAACCCATGAGACCACTGAGCTAGATTGATGGGAGCACTGATATGGGCATGCGCTGAATTCCAGCACAAATAGAAAACCATGACATGTAAGTGCAGCATTCCATAAACTGTGCACAAGCCTGAAGATTAACCATCCATGAGACAGGAATACCATATTAGAGCAAACATCAGGAGCTGAGCACGTAGTCAGTTACATAAGACTCAGCTTCACACCACCGCAGATTAACACCTAAGCAAGCAATGAAGTAATTAGTGTAGGTACTTTGAATTTCTAACCGCACCACAACTTTCAAACCAACCAGGATGAGCCAAATCACAATCTCACCTTATATGTCATAAGAAATAAAATTTGTTACATTCTGTATAAAAGTTTTTCTTTATTCCACAATCTTGGGAGCAGTTGATTTACATGGAGGGGGTGCTCCTCTTTTTAATTGCACACAATTGCACACAGCACTGGCTGCCAATAGCATACCAAATCCGCTTAAAGGTGCTGGTTCTTACCTTTAAAGCCCTTTATGGCCAGGGTCCGACATACCTATGGGACCGCCTTTCCCCGTATATACCCCAGAGAGCACTACAGTCTGGGTCTGAAAATCGGTTGACCCTCCCTGGCCCGAGGGAGGCCAGGCTAGCTGCCACTAGGGCCGGGGCCTTTTCGGTGGCAGCCCCTACCTGGTGGAATGAGCTTCCGGAGGAGATCAGGGCCCTGCAGGACCTTTCACAGTTCCGCAGGGCCTGCAAGATGGAGCTCTTCCACCAGGCATTTAATTAGGGGCAGCTGTCATTGGATCGCCTGGCCGCTGCAGTGCCTGGCCCATGAGCCACCATCGAGTTGTTGACATAAGGAAACGATGAGCAGAAGAACATCCTAGAACATTTGGGAAATGGAAATCCTTTGAAAGTGTGTCATCTAAGTGAATTTTAATTGCGGCCAGAGCTTTATGCTTGTTTTATTTGTTGTGTTTTTAATAATTGTGTTTTAATTTATTTTTATTTTATTTTTATTTATTTGAGTATTTTTACCCCGCCCTCCCCGCTGTATATATGTCGTTTTGGAAGCCGCCCTGAGCCTGCTTTGCAGGGAGGGTGGGGTATAAATTTGATAATAAATAAATAAAAGCTATCTGTTCTTTGGTTGATCCTGATTCTGTGTGTGTGAATTGGGCAACCATACATAGAGGATCACCCTTTGAATGCAACAAGTTTGCTCAGGGATTTGCAATGGTGTCACTAAAAGGCGGATTAACACCCAACTCTTCCTCTATTTAACAGCAGAGTCAAGTGGGTCTGTGAAAATCAAGGAGGTGCCTAGAGAAGGTAATGGCATGGATGAAGTCCAATAAACTGAAGCTCAATTCAGACAAGACTGGATCCAGACAAGAGGTGCTCAGGGTTGCCAGGTCTGGGTTGGAAAATACCCAAAGACTTTGGGGGTGGATCCAGGAGAGGATGAGGTTTGGATGAGGTTTGGGGAGGAGAGGGGCTAGGGTTGTCAGGTCCCCCAGGGGGTGGAGGGTTGCCTGCTCGATGGGCCCCTTACCAGCCAGCCCAGATCCAGTCGCCAGGAGGAACCCCACCCCCAAAGTGCTGGAATCGCAGCAATATGCCCGGCATGATGACGCCACCCAGAGATGATGTCATCATGCCGGGCATGTTGCGGGGGGGATGCTCTGTCATTCAAGAGAAAAATCTATGTTTTCCCCTTGAATGATAGTGGCCCCACCATGACGTGCCTGATGTGATGACATCACTTCCGGGTGGCATCATCATGGTGCACGCGCTTTGCACGCATGCCAAAGATGTCCCGGAGAGGGGCTGGGACCCTCCCTGCCACAACAAAGGTAAGATCTGGGAACACTAGGAGGGGGCTCAGCATGGTACAGTGCCATAGAGTCCACCCTTCAAAGGAGCCATTTTCTCCAGGGGAACTGATCTCTTTCAGCTGGGGATCAGTTGTAAAAGTGAGAGATCTCCAGGCCCCACCTGGAGACTGGCAACGTTAGAGGTCAATAGAAAAGATGCTTGAAGACTTTCTAAGCCTCTCCTGGCAGAGGTAGCATTCCCCCTGGAGGAGCAGGTTTGTAACTTTTGGGGTCTTCCTGGATCTTGACCTGCAGTTGGAGGGACAGGCTTGCTCTGTGGCATGTAACGCCTTTTATCAGCCTTGACTGATATTGCAGCTAGAGCTGTTGCTTTAAAAGCATGATCCGCCTATGGTGATTCATACTCTGATCACAGATAGCTTAGATCACTGTAATGCAGTCTTTGTACAGCTACCTTTGAAAAAGGGCCATAATCTTCAATTTGCCCCAAATGCTGTAGCTAAACTACTGTTATTTACAGGGACTGCATCGCCCCTGTGTTGAAAGATCTGTACTGGCTACAAATTTGATTCCAGACACAATTCAAAATGTTGATTCTTACCTCTGGCCCAACTTGGTTGGGACTGGGGTACCCCATAGTGTCCAGCCCACCATCTGCCTCCCAAGCCCTGCTCTCCATGCCACTTCCTTCAGAGGTGAGTAGAGTTGGCAGGCCATGCCTGGCAACCAGTAGCAGTTTCAATTCAGGAACAAGGGAGGGGGTGTCATTGTTGTCTGTGTCATGATATCACTTCTGGGGGAAAACCTGTAAGTGACATTGGGTAGCTCTAGGCATCACCAGAAATTCTATGGTTTTGCTATAGTTTTACCATAGAGTTTCTGGTAATTCCTAGAGTGATGTGACATCACTTTTGGGTCTCCCTAGAAGTAACATTATAGGTCAGACAATGCCAAGTTTAAAAAAAAAAATCTCCTGCTGCCCCTAGTTGGAGCCTTATAGCAGGAGGCCTGCAACAGCAAGAAGCCCTGGCAGCCCTAGAGGCAGGTAGCTACTAGAGACAGAGCATTTCTAGTGGTGGCACCTCACCTTTTGAATGTCCCCCCCATGAGGCTCACTTTTCACCTCTCATATTGTCTTTTGGACACTAGGCTAAAACATTTCTTTTTAGCAGACTTTTAATTAAGGGGTTTTCAGCTGTTTTAGGGTCTGCTTTCAGTCTGAAATTTGTTTTTGGATATTTTTAGGGTGCCCAATTGTTGTTTTATGCCAGTTTTACACCACTGCCTTGTTTCTAGTGGCTTATTTTGTTTTACATTGTTTTTATATTGATACATTCTATAGTTTTATGGTAATATTATTATTTGTAAACTACCCTGACCAGCAGTCTGGTCAGGTGGCATACAAATTTCCTAAATAAATAAATATTCAGTTGAACTTTAAAAATAAGGTCTCCAGCAAGCCACATGAAATTGTCCAAGAGATTATAGAAGTTTCTGTTGGCTACAATGACTTGGAAATCAAGTTTTCCCCCTCTTCTTTGAAATCCCAGCCAGAAACATGATATTGGTATCTAGCAAAGAAGGTCTACTAAAGTCCTGCATGAAATGTCATTACCCACAACTGTTTGTCTAAGTATTATTTCATTCTTCAGATCAAATATTCAAGTCAAGTCATTTCAAATCAAATACTGTTATTTTTTCTCCTTGCTGTTCCCACACTAAGACTCATGTACACAGCCCCTTAGAGGTACATAGGAAGGGAAGGTTCTTCATGTCTGAGGGTAATTTCACTTTTGAAGAAACAGTGCAGGAGGAATCCAGGGGGAGGTAAGGAAAGTCTGAAATCTATT